TTATAAGTGGGTACCGACGTTTCGGAGAAACATGCTGCCCAGGCCAGGGAGTACAAGAAGATTGATGTCAATCTTCTTCCCTCCAACTTAACCCGTCCGAATTCTTGACCTTAAAAATCTTCTTCGAATATTGAAGCAGCAGGTTCCAACAATACTTTTTAATAACCTACAAAGTTAAGGTGTAACAATCGAGAAGATCGCAATATGAGTTAAATAATTTGTTCTAGTGTTTTTGAAGCTTAACTTGGAACAAAATGTAAGCCTAATTCTTTATTTACATATGCGGTGATATATTTTCATGGATCTCTACAAAATACATTAAGAAGCATTAACACATTAATATTGATTATTTTCTTGAATATCCTTTATCCGTCCTCACCACAGGACGTTATAGCAAATTCGTACAGTATTTCCTAGAAAGCAGTTCCATACGTATTACCCACCTATTCTTTTCCAAATTACCAGATGGTCGTAGCGTATGGCACGAGTAGGAGACATTAAGGGGCATAAAATGCCTTGATCAAAAAACTAAAAGGAATAGGCTAATTAAAAGACCTAGGCATAGAAGGGAGAATAAAATTACAAAAATAAAGCGGAACGGTGTAGACATCATTCATCATTCTCAGGAAACTGGCTTAGTATACCTCGTCAAAGTTGATGGATGTTAAATTTTTATTGTGTTCAAAACTAACACAGTTTACTACAGCGTTATCTTTTAAAATTTCATTAAAAGCACTACATTTATAAATGTCTTTGTAAAACATCTTGGCGACTGATGCCAGATTTCTGCCAAACGCACGAACACAGAAGAGATCGCCTGACATCAGACTCCCGCCAGGCCTTACCATTGGCGCCACCATATCCGCGTTTTCACTTCTTTAGCCAAAATAACAACCACCACAACTTAATTTAAATTCCTTCCGTGTCACATAAATAACGCACTCGTACAGTCAATAATAACGGACACTGGCTATTATATTATAAGTAAATGGATCAGAGATGAATTTTTGTGAAAACGGTAATGAAATGTTATGTTCTTGAAAGTGTCTTGAGTAATTGATCAACTCTTCGCTTTTTGAATAAGGTCTCCCCATGGAGTTCCAAAACAAGAGAGTCTGGATGATATTTTTCTCGTTTATTTTAAGAATCTAAAATACATACAGTAGTTAACACATTCGTATCCATTGTCAAACTGATATTAAAGCGGATATAGTAATCAGTGGAGCAGAGAATCAATAGAGAAGAAAACCTTTTTCTCAGATTTCCCTGTTGCGTCGTTGCACAATTACACCTCAGCCCCTAAGGTATTTGATACTCCTTCCCTACAAACCAACCTTCAGTCTGTTCTGTCTCTCAGATCCCGTAACATCGCTCCATTATTGAAACGTTGTATACGTGAATACGATTAGTGAGTAAAACTTTCGCAGGCCGCCACCAGGGTCGCATGCAGCCTCAAGCCATATGTTGTGTACCACGGAAAGATCCGGTACATGTTATTGAGATAGACGAAGATGGAAAAATGAGATTTCATTGAAAATAGAAAACACGTAAATAAAGTATTCGATCTTCTCTCAAACTGAAGACAATTTTCTTACATTTTGCCAGAGAATATAAAATTACATTTCATTAAAGGAACCAGAATTGAGAGATAACTTTTAAGGTTATGTGTGCGTAATTAATTTCAATAAATGAAACCATTCATTAGAAGATTATAGTCGTTTAGCTGGTTAACAAACTCCTCGACGTTTATGAAATCTGAAGGCTTATTTCCGTGTTCACAAGGTTCCGCCACTGAAACTTAACCTGAGCCAGATGAAATCTGTCCACATTCTCACACCACATTTATTTAATGCACTTTTACCGTCTGGCTCCATCTATCATTCCAAGGTCTCCAAAGTTGTCTCCATTTTAGGATTTGCAGCTAATATGTACGTAAGCATTTCTCATCTGTCATGCATGCTACATTCATGTCCCAACACATCCTCACTGATAATATTTTAGAATGTAGAATATCGTTCATTTAGCTTATTATTATTCCGATTTTTCTCACTTTTTATACTTCCTCTAATGTATAAATTAAACCGTGAATTCCTTGTTCTCAAACACTCTTATTCATTATCAATGCCATTTATGCTATGCGTCAATGATTGTCATTTTATAATCGAAATCAATTTTTTATCTGAGTTATTGACAGCGTCATTAAGTAAACCATAAATAAACAAACACAACCTAACACTATTAACTGCGTAACAATGTTTAAACAAACATTACTTTCACTCAACTTCCTTCTTTTACTTCAGTGTAGTGAAGTATTTTTCGGCACACAGTGTTTACGTAACGAAAAATAACAGAACCTACAGTTGTCCCAAAACGATGTATAGTCCGCGACTATAATCTTGAGACTTGCGGGGGTGAGGAAGTGGGGTGAAGGAGGAAGGAGAAAAGATAGCTTCTGCCTTTAACGGTTTGGACGTCTTTGCAAGTCTCAAGATTACAGTCGCGAACATTATACACATATTCTATAACTGAAAAACATTTTAACAAACTAAATCATTATATACGTCAGCATTGGCCCTAAATATATTGACGAATCTAGTTTAACTAACTAACCAGATGGCTTACCGAACCCGAAGGTTCATCACCGAATTAACCAAAGCCCTCCACCGGACCCTGTCCTGGACCAACAAAATCCAGTCTCCTTCAACTCCTATCTCCCATAGATCTCAGTACAGATTTTTAAGCTCATCATTGTGCAGTTTTCTCCACGCCCCATCGTCTTCCCTCTTAGGCCCAAATATCCTCCTCAACACCCTGTTCTCAAACACCTGCAATCTGTGTTCCTCCCTCTGAGTGAGAGACCATGTTTCGCACCCATACAAAACAACGGGTAAAATTATTGTTTTGTGTACTTTAATTTTCAGGTTCTTAGAAATCAGACGGGAAGACAAAATATTTTGAACTGAGAAATAGCAAGCATTTCCAGAATTTAATCTCCTCCTAACTTCCTCATGAGTATCATTTTGATTTGTTATTGTTGTTCCCAGATATTTGAACTTTGTAACATTTTCAAAGGACGAATCTAGTTTAGATGTTCAAAATGACCACCTTTCGTGGCGTATTTGACAACGGAGAACAACTGACTGACAAGCGGCTACCAAAATTGCTGTTGGGCCGGCTGCTTTGTGGCTTTGTGCTGCATACGCCGTCCTTCAAGTAAGCCCACAAGAACGAGTCAAGTGGGGTTATTATTTGGCGATCGCGCGGAGGGGGGTGGGTACTAGAATGATCCATTGATCGGGAGAAGCGTTGTCAAGTTAGGACCTGACATAAAGATGGTAATGCGGGTTGCCTCCCTCGTATTGTTGGCACCAAATGCCCTGGTCTCCACACAGCTGATGAAAGGCGGGGATAGTTCCGTGGTCTAATGTGTCTACGTCTTTTTGGGGCATTCTTCATAAGCGTAATTTGCAAAGTGGTGAATACTGTACTCTAATGAACTTGTTCTAGCAAAAAATACTTTCATAATTCCTGCATCAATAATACTCAAGATGGCTGTCTTGTAGGATGTTATGCCATCTAGCCTGGTAGACACTGACGTACGTTTCAAACGAGCTTACTACCCCCATCACAACTCTGATGACAGAGGCAACAAATTCCCCTGAAACGTTTGTCAGTACGTTCCCCATCACAACTCTGATGACAGAGGCAGCAAATTCCCCTGAAACGTTTGTCAGTATGTAACCACACATATTTTAAGAGTATTTATACGACAAGAAAATGAAGGTTTGTATGTCATTTCAAAAGGCTTTCGTTATTTCAAAGAAACAATATTTACAATCGTTAGCATGTATATTTAAACGTTTTTTTTTTGGCATGCGTATTAAAGCTGTTCTGATTCATTCTTTAAATCTTTCGACGAATGTACTTCAGCATAGTAGCCCATTACTTTTAAAATGTTCACTGCTATTAAAAGTTTCACATCGCAGCCTTATAATTAGCTCCAAATGTCACATACATTTACTGTGAACTTTCTCTGCTACTACTTATTATAGTTCTGAAATGTTCTATTCAGTATTTGTCGTAGGGTCTGCTCGTCTGCGTGTATTGCATAATTCAAAAACGACATGAACAAATTTTTCTAACTTCATTTTCCATAAGAAATGTATATTATTCACTTAATAATGATTAATTTGATATTTTTGGGAAACATTTCTGCTAAAATTCGTTTACCAATGAATGAATGAATTAATTTGATAGTTTTCATACGTGTATTTCAATATCAAATTTATTTTATGAACTTTGTACTTAATTTAGGGTATTTTAGATGTCATTAACACATTTTTAAATATGTGTAAGTCTGACACTGGAGTCAACCTCTTCCGTGTTGGGAGTACCGTAAACTTCTTCTTTCCCAGGGGCAAACAAAACTGCGTTATAGGTGTAAATTCAACTAATACCAAATTTAAGTTACATTACTTTAAACGCTTACAGCGCCAGATTTTTTTTCGTCTTCCATTGCAATCCCATGGGACTTGCGTGCGAAGCTTATAATGCCTTCTACCTAAAGCCGAGGTTAAGAGGGTTCAAATTCTCTTCACGTTTCTCATATTTCTTTATGTTAAGTCCTGACTTGAGTGTGAACTTCAACAAAAAACGATAGACTTGCTATTACACTAATCACAACACTATGGAGCCCTGCAGGTCAGTGGAGAAATGGCTCCATGCCATTTTAACCTCGATGCTAGATGCAGAAGAGTGGTCAGCTACACATCCCGGATCTCTTCAGCTCCAGTACCCATAAGATCGGAGTCTGTGATGGGTACGGATTCGGTCTGAATGAGAAAAATTCTGTCTCTTCCGGTTCTCGAACACCAGTCGCCCAGCCCACAGTCCAGTCAGAATATTGACTGAGATACCCTAATCCTCATAGACATCTTTGTTGACCTTAACTTTTGCTATGAACTGCTGGTAGAATAACGATGGGAAGTGGTGGTACTTACCAGAAGTCCGTTCTGCATGCTACGAATTTGTCATAAACCAGAACTGCAGCGCGCAGCGCAAACTGTAGCACTGCCCTGTCTCACCCCTGCAGCTAGGCACAACACTGCACACGTACTCGTCAGTACGGGAACTCGCTGTTACCTTCACTACTCTATAATGTAAACGTTCATCCCAAAACCGGTCTTCAAACGTGACGTCAAGAGGAAGAGAGAAGAGAGGGCAATATAAAGGTTCTTGTTCTTCATCGGTTATTTCTCCCTGTTGTAAGTCTCAGCATGCAAAAATGGTTTAAGTGCACGTGTTTGAAATGCCACCCAGTTCCTCATAGCGAACACCTACCTGGTATCCAGTAATTACGAGATCGTAAATATGAGCAGTATTACCAACTAAGCCAACATGAAAGTTATATAACTTCATGACCTTGCATCAAGTAATGAGGTTATGTAGCGTCGAATAAATGAAGGAAATGTGCAAAGGACAGGTAATTACACGTTACTACCGTGTCTACTGATCGCCGAATGTAAAGACAGACGAAAGCTCGCTGCTGTACGCGAGAAGTGAGCAAGTATTTGACGTAGAAGGTCCGGTAGTTAACTGATATTGCGCGCATACTTAACGCCCCTCCCCAACCCTGAGTGGAGAACATTTAGTCATTGGTACAAAGACATTCGGCTTTGTTGCTTTTCGCTATTCGTAGTATCGTTATTGATTGTTTTACTTTGTCAACAGTGACTATTATATAATTTACAGTGTCATAAAAAGTTACCAGTCAAGTTTAAAACAAATCAAGCATGACGTTTATCGATTCGCTAGTAACGTACCGCTTTACTTCCTAAGCAGCATACGTCAAATGGAGCTCTTAGACACCTTGAGGTTATGTCAGAGGAGGCGAGGTTAGGTTCCATTTAATCCTGAAAGTTTAATGTGAGTTAGGTTAAGTTATGTTGTTTTGTATCATCCTGTTATGTTTCGAGAACGTCACGATTGGATGACACGTAAATCCCGCATACATCAATAGACTATTGGCATCATATCACGCTGGAACCACACTTAGATAACGTTTTGAACACTCTAAAATTCCGCTCATCCGATTAGGTTAGGTTAGAGTTATGTTAGGTTATATTCGGTAAGGTTGGTTAAAAATAATAACATGATTTGGATACACGAGTAGGAGATTTGAACATATATGATTTATGCTTGAATATCTGCACCGAAATCCGAGGAATTGATGTAAAATTTCCACTAACTGAACCCCTTTCAGCACGAAAACTTTATTTGTAGTCGTTACATGCTGAGTGTACTGAACGCAATATATATTTAAGTCTCAGCTACGTCACAGTACGAGAAGCTGGGAAGATGAAAAGGTCAATTGTGGGGAGACCTCGTACGCTATCGTATCACGGCTGGCTGTCCAACAAATTGTGTACAGTACTATGCGTGAATGTGAACGAAGCTCGGAGATATCTTGCGATAAGTATGAGACAAAGAATATCCGGCATTTGTCTCAGTGAACTCTGCTAGCAGGCCTGTATATTCTTGGAATATTTAGCATACAGGATGTTAAAAACTTCGTGACATTTATACTGACCGTGGATACGTTTCATATTGAAGTAAAAATGTTTTATATTAATGTTTCTTGCTGATTTCACAAAACTTTGAGGAAAAGTGCAATGAGTGAATTCTTTAAATTTTAAAGTTTTGCCTTCTTAAAAATCTTTGTATAGCTGAAACTGTACGAAAGCAAGGAAACTCAAGAAAGCCGTCGATCCAATTATCTCATGACATGGTTTGATGTGTGGAAACATCTTGACAACACGTCTTTCAGATGCTTGTTCCAAGCCGTGATGATGATGCTGATAGAAATGTATGATTAAATGCCAAGCACGCATTAAAACCAAATTGTACAATTCTCAACTGACATGTCGTGACTTTAATATTGTGCATTAATAGCGTTGCCCCGCATTGTTACATTGTCGTGATCTCTGTATTTTCAATCGTTCTTCGTACCAAGTGATGCGTCAAATGCCTTAACTCGTTGAAGGCGAACCCCGTCTAAATAATATTTAAAAATTCTCTCCGTGCTACAAAGAAAACACAACAGTTCACTACTACAAAGACCAACTGACTAATGCTTTTTGAGGAAATAATCGTTGTTTATTCTGAGAATTATAGTAAACCCATAAATACTGTGTCGGCAAAATGCTGAGTTGCTGATTGTCAGAGAAGGCGGATTTTGCAGTTGACGTTGGGGTTTGAAGAGTTACAGGGAAGCCATGGCCTTTCGGCTGTTCGTATCATTCAGACAGCAATAGGAATGTTGAAATCGCGATCTAAATTTTGACTTCCCATGCTTGTCTGCAGAATTTTGAACAATATAGGCTTAACGCAAGGAGAATGCAGATTTATTCGTATCACGTGTTTCCATTGCACAACTTAACATGAAACAAACAAATATAATTTTGTTTGTAGTCAAGAAATTCACGTTTCAAAATTAATATGGTTATAAAATTATTTGCAGCTATCTGGGTCCACCACAAAATAGAACACATAAGTGATAACAATAAAATAATATGTAACATAAATATTAATGAATAAAGTGCTGTCACAGATTTTTGGATAATCATTAGGCTTTCCAGAAGAATTTGAGGAAATTCTTCACATTAGTCATGTACAATACGGAGTTAGTTCAATGTCTAATTGGTTATTGTTTCTGCAAATTAATACAACATTTTTACCTGTCATTCGGAAAACGCAAATTTATTACAATTCTGTTATAGAAGCCACACAGTTACATTTTTCGAAATTATAACACCTTCCCAACTTACACGTCTTACTTAATAGTGACTCTGATAATAATCTGTTACAGACGAATCTACTGGATTTCTTTTTAGTTTTAATATCTGTCCAATGATTCATACACAGTGTAACAAGGAAACAATTCTAATTAAGTTTTTCCTAGGTTAAATTGTCGAATTTTTGCATAAATAGCGATGCATGTCTCTGTTTCATTCTTTAACAATTGTTTAATGCATCAAGCGTTCTCTACGCTCCACCACGGCGATAAATAATGAAACATTATATAGCACGAATCGTTGACTTATCATAATAAATAAACACTTTTATTATTTAAGTAGTTTACATTTTTTCTAGTTTATGAGTCATCAACCTCATGAAAACTGTAGGTCAGTAAATGAAGACATCAGAAACACGATCGCCAGTTGAATTGCCTGGCGATGGTTTGCAATTTAAGGATCATAAAAGGAAATATCGTGCGTGCTCTCGATATCAAAATCGATTTGTAGGCGTGATCAATTTATATCGGCCACTACTGCTTATGGTTAAATTCAATGGGAACAGAAAAGAAAAATGAAACACACTGATGTAAGCTGCAATCTTACATTAACATGTCCTTTCGAAATACTGCACAGTCTGCCAGTGTCGTCATGTCATGATTACATGCAAAACAAAATATACAATGCAACGAAGCTGCAGAACTCCCCAGGGTTGAACCTGTGTTCATGCAATACAGTTGAATTATCTTTGTATATCACCGACCACGTACATACAAGTACAAGATTATCTTTAACATGCCTAAAATATAGTCCTTAAAATAATTAAACGTTGTCTATATTAATAATTATAACAGCAATGAGAATTATAATGGTTAGTTTAACCTGCTTCAAAATCACAACTCCATTCAACGGTACAAAGCCTATATTTGATTAACACTACAAGCCCCTTGAATATATTGTATATATAGGCACGAACTCGGTCACTAGGTCGGTACAGCCGCCACTAATCCTAAAAGTAAAAATGAGTCAGTACAATGATAACCAGTCACCTGATGATTAGAGTAGAACCAAATGCTAAAATGCCATGTGTATAAACTGTGGGCCTACCTCAAAAACTAATAAATGCCCGTCATATTGATATTATGAAACAGCGAATGTCTAGAACGGTGTGTCCAGAAGACTTTGGGGCGGTTGTTGTCGGGGACTTTAGAGACACTTGTGGGATTTGACGTTTTTCATAATGTTGTACTTCGGGTTAACACGCCGGCGAGCATGTCTTCCGAGATATTATGCCTTCTAGTCTGGTAGAAGTTTCCGACGTTTCAGCGGTGTTTACGGCCTCCATCATCAGAGAGATCATTGCCCTGAAGATAGAGGCAGCAAGTCTAAGTCGGTGAACCTGACTTCATGAACCAACATCCCAGAAGACTGTAGACGTTTCATTGTGTTATTCCTTCGAAATGCTGGCACAGAATCAAAATGAAATCTCCCCACAACAGCTTTGATCTCTGCCATGTATTTAGGAGAAGTTTGTTATTTAGAGGAAGCATCATATGAATATATTGGGGAAAAGATGTAATTTAAAATTTGTAATTAGATTCAGAATAGGTCTTGCACCTCATGTATTCACATATACACAGCGAGCAAGAAACAATTTTTTAAAAAACTGTAAATTGCGAATACAATTCTCGTCACACGGATTGTAACGAGGTGTCCGCAGGCATATGGCTGACGACCTGCTTCAGACCATTATTCGACATGAGTCCACAAAATTCAGTTTCGAGAAAACTAAAAAAAATTCCAGCAAACACATTGTTTATATTAAGTTTTGTTTATTTTTCCCCAAGAATAATAGGAAAGTATGTCATTTTTAGACAGTTACATTTCATTAAAATCGTTTGTATCTACAAGTACATGTCGGCAAAATGCTGAGTTGCTGATTGTCAGAGAAGGCGGATTTTGCAGTTGACGTTGGGGTTTGAAGAGTTACAGGGAAGCCATGGCCTTTCGGCTGTTCGTATCATTCAGACAGCAATAGGAATGTTGAAATCGCGATCTAAATTTTGACTTCCCATGCTTGTCTGCAGAATTTTGAACAATATAGGCTTAACGCAAGGAGAATGCAGATTTATTCGTATCACGTGTTTCCATTGCACAACTTAACATGAAACAAACAAATATAATTTTGTTTGTAGTCAAGAAATTCACGTTTCAAAATTAATATGGTTATAAAATTATTTGCAGCTATCTGGGTCCACCACAAAATAGAACACATAAGTGATAACAATAAAATAATATGTAACATAAATATTAATGAATAAAGTGCTGTCACAGATTTTTGGATAAT